GTGTGGGCTCCATCCCACGCTGGAGAGATCAGTGTCCTCCCTCGTTTTTGGAAGAGTCTTCGCTGCCGATACCAGCGCTGCCAAAGGGCCCTGCTCTTGCACCCCAGGCCTGGCAGGGGGAGTGGCTGCAGGACTGTCCCGCACCCCAGCACGGGATGCCAGACTGAAGGAACAATGCCCTGCCCCAAGCTGGGGTGTCCCTGCCAAGAGTGTGCCAAGGCACAGCATCGCTGCCAGCCCACGGGCCCTGCTCGCCCGGCTCAGCACATCCCCATGGAAACACACCAAAAAGGACTCCTCAAGGGCTCCTCTTCCTCCCAGCGTGGGGGAGCGAGGCCGCAGTAATTCGCCCTTCTAGCAGAAATGAAGTGCCATCCCTGCAAGTCTCTGGGACGGGCTGTGGGGCTGAGGGAGCACCAGCGCCAGTGCCAGCCCTGGGAGGCACACGGAGAACCCAGGCTGTGTTCATGTGTGGACAAACACCTCCAGAGCCAGTAGCTGTGGAACGAGGTGCCCCTCAGCCCGCTCAGCAAGGACATAGCAGGATTTTCACTTCAACCTTTCACAGCAACTACAGGTCACCAAAAGCCACAAACAAAAAGTGCTGCTACTGCTGCAAACGCCACAGCACAAACACCACCAGAGCCCCAAAGCAGGCTATGCTGGTGCCTTTCCCCAGTGCTTAGAATCTAACCAGAGGGACCCACCAGCACGGGACAGAGCTGTGGGGGGACACAGCCCCACGCTACCACTGCCTCGGGGAGAATGAGTGGAGGTGCTGTCCGAGGGTCTGTGATGCTCGAGGGGTCACAGGTGCACATCCTCAATTAGCTCTGCTAACTGCAACCCAGAGGTCACAGTCTGTGTGGCTGCAATGGTCCTCTGTTCCCACGAGAGGAAACCGATTCCCTGAGCACAGGGACATAGAAGTGGCAGTGACAACCCAGCGATGACAGCCGCAGGGACCAGCAGGATCTCTGTGCCAGGACAGGAGGGCTGTGCTTGGGCTGCCTCACCTGACACCTCAGAGACACAAAGGGACACTGGGTATGGCACAGGGGCAGAGAGCAGCCTGTACTGCAGAAACAAACACCTTCAAACCCAACAGAATGTCTCCCACTGAGCAAGAGAGCAGGCGCCACCTTTGTATTTTGCTTTCTTCTTCTCTGGCTTCAAAGCAGAAGTGTTGAACCCAGCCACGTGCTTTTTTTTCTTTCCACCAAGCAAAGAAGAGACAACAAAGATCATCCTGCACCTAAACAGGAGCATTTTAAGACAAAGACAGATGTTAGGGTTCGGCTCTGACCTCTGGAAACCCATTTTTGTCAGGGATATGTTGCAAGACCCTGACTCACAGCAGCTGAGGACAGTCCCTGCAAAAGGTTTTCTCCTCCCTCGTGGAGCTGTGCATGGCATATGCACAACGGGAGAATTCCCAGTTTCCCCCAGCATGCAGCAATGAGGGCTGTGATCCCTGGGGGGAACACAATGTGCTCATTGTTCCCAACTCCCACCAAAGAATTCCCCAGGGAGCTGCATGACGAAGGAGACAGAGTTCATCCACACTGCTGCCCCGGACGTGAGGCTCTGGATGCAGGACTCAACCCACTGCTTTCCAGGGATCCTCTGTCCTGGCAGCACAGCTTTAGGAGCCAACACACACAGTGTCTGGCCAAGGGGTTGGATCCTGCTCTGAGCTGTTGGGTTTCCACTGTGTGTAGCAACTGCCCGAAGTGCCCAGCCCTGGTCCCACTGAAACACCTCAGCTGGGGCAGCCCTGAGTTCCCCCGGCCGAGCCCAGATGTGCCACCAGGGCCAGGAGGAACGACCCTGACTCACGGCACACTCCCAAGCACTCCACAGCTGCTCAAGCACTCGGATGAGGGAAAAAACACAACCTTCCTGTTGGCCTTCTACGTAGTCCCAATCCCACAGCAGCATCCTGCGAGGCACCAGCTCTTCTGCTGCAGGGCTTAGATGCTCAGCACTGGGGAGTCCAGCGCGGCCCAGGACAGGAGTGCTGGCACTGACCCATGGCCAGTCATCCGCCAGTGCCCCTGAAGGCTCTGTGGGGACTCAGAAATCCTGACACGTTGGACTAAGGCCACTTTTCCCACACTGACACGGGTTTTCCACTTGCCAGGAGTAAATGGCCAGCAGTAAGGGCTAAAAATAACCTGCTATATTTAGCTGCGCTTTACAAACCTCTTGGAAAGGAATTTACTGAATGTCTCACCCTCTGTCACACATTTACCTCTGCTAATCACT